GAACGCTGGCAACATAGCATTGTCTGGTCTCCACGGACGACCCCAACGCCATTACATGTTGGAAACTTCATGGCTAGGTGGAATGTGGACACAATGGCTTTAATCTTGTTCAGGAGTGGTCTTCCCAGAATTGCGTTATAGGCCATTGAGACACGTACCACTTGAAAAGATGTCATCTCCGTAACCTGTTTCTGGCCAAAACCCAAAGTTAGTGGAAGCTCGACGACACCCTCTGGAGTGATGACTCCTCCCCCAAACCCCTGGAGAGGAGTTTTAACCGCTTTGAGTTGGTGAGATGAGATTCCCATTTTTGGCAAAAGCTTCTTGTGAAAGTATATTGGCCGCACTCCCGTTGTCAACCAAGATTCTCTTCACTTCAAAATTGGCCACAATCGCTGAGATTACCAAGGCGTCATCATGTGGAAGTGATACACCTTCTAAGTCCCCGGTCCCAAAAGTAATATCCTCCAGCTTTTCATGAGGCATCCCAGAGGCCAAGACATATTGTCGGGCATATTGTTTTCTTCCACTGTTGGAGTCTCCTCCCGAGGCAATACCCCCAATGATGATATTGATGGTTCCAGCAGTGGGTTGACCATCCCTTTTTGCCTCAGGGGCATTTTCCCTGCCACGATCATTCCTCGGGCGTTTGTCGTTACTGACGTAGGAACTCAAGAGTCCCCTTTTAATAAGGGCTTCAATTTCCCGTTGTAGGACCTTACAGTTCTCCGTGGTATGCCCATGATCCCGATGGAACTCACAGTATTTTTTCATGTCCCAGTGTTCGGGTGGTGACCTCATTCTGACAGGCCATTTGAGTTCCTTCATATCCTTGATCTCCATCAATATATTGGTCTTTGACGTATTTAAACGTGTGAATGACGTCGGGGGGACCTCCTGTCTCTGTTTTTTCCGATGTTCTTCACGGGGGTTTGGATCGTGCTGTCGTTTATGCTCGACCCTGTCATGGGGCGGTCCAACCTTTCTCGGGTTCAGTGTTTCCTCCATATTTATGTACTTCTCGGCTCGGGTAAGAAGCTCGGTTACTGTCTTTGGCGGAGTTTTGGATAAAGACATCTTGAAAGCCTCGCTTTATGGCATATGTGAGGGCAGAAACTGCTGCAGTTATGTGTAGGTCGGGAATCTGAAATCTTTCCTTGTTGAACCTGGTCATGAAGTCACGTAGGGTCTCATTTTGCCCTTGTCTAAGTTGCATGAGGGAAGCCGCTGTTATCCTGATGCGTTTACTGCTTGCGAAGACAACAGAGAACTTGTCCGCCAAATCCGAGAATGAGGCTATGGAGTTGGGCTCTAAGGTTGAGAACCAATCCCTAGCAGCATTCGTCAAAGTTTGCGGGAAGGCCTTGCACATCACTTGATCTGGTGCGACCTATAGATTCATGACGTCCGTGTATACGTTCAGATGATTGATTGGATCGGTGGTCCCATCATATTCTTTGATCCTAGGATACTTAAATCTGTCTGGCAAGGGGAATGTTAATATCTCGGGAGTAAAGGGAGTGTTGGGACTGAATCTTGTTGTCCCTTTGTTGCCCTGGAGTAGGCCCGTCGTAATTCCTTCTTGAATAATCCTAGCGAGTTCCCCGGACTCCATGGTCACTGATCTCGAGGTCGAGGTCACATGTGGTATACTCGAGCCCCCTGCTCCGCCATTGTCAGGGACATGTGTTTGAGGTCGAGCTTGAGCTCGAGCATCAGCCATAAAACCCCCCTGGGGTGCTGGTGTGGGTGACGGATGCGAATTTCTTTGACTTAGCAGCTGAGTCAGTGTGGTGACCTGTTGTCTGAGCTCTTCAAAGGCTCCAGCAGTGACGACTGTCGGCTGGGGCTCTGGCACTTCTGATGATTCCTCTTGAGGAACAGGGATATCCTCAGGAGGGGGTTGGTTTGGAGCGGATGAGCTTGCTGGTGGAAGACCTGAACGTGTGTTTACCATGGCTTTTGGTAGCGGTTCCCACAGACGGCGCCAATGATGCTAACAAAAATCGTACCTGTAGATTTCCCGAGCTTAATGACTGATGAGGAGCACGAACGTGATCTTCCGGTACCTGAAACAAAGGCAACGAGGTGTGTTCTCGTCGCCCCTCCGATACTTAAGTCAGAAAGGGAAATATATGCGTGAGGCTATGTGCTGAAGAACAATGAAAAACGTACCTGAATAATGGCCCAAGGTTCTGTATTTATAGAGGTAGGTGGTGTGTTCATATTAGGATTCCGTAGTGCACCTGTAGTAGGACAGCTTGATTTTGCAATCTTACACCAATGAGTCCTACGCGAGATAGGAGTTTGAATTGAGGTATAACTGTGATACCAATAGAGTTCTTCCGGGCATAGGAGACATGAATTGAGGATTTTTAGTCAGAATAAATCTCTCGTTGGATAAGGCGCTGTCGTAGGTCATAATCCCGAGGACATGTCGAATGATTGTTGAATAACTCTTCGGGCTACTAGCTCGGGCATATAGGGATACCCGAGCACATATGTCCCGAGCATTTTGATACACATGTCGACGAAATTGAGTCCTCGGGTCTATATACGTCGGGAACAAAACTTGGTTATATCATCTACCTTTGTAATTTTTTAGTCAGAACGATTTTTTATTGAATTTAAATTATGTCGGTCGGCCAAGAAATGGAGTGTATACAGTCGGTGATTTCATGATAAAAAAAAGAAGAGAAGATTTGCATGTTGTGAAGCCCACGACAATTGTGGATGAAGGTATTTGTGCTCAAGTTTAACTTTACTTTTTAAGATTGTTTTGAACACTAATTGTTTGTAATTTTATTTCTCTATGCTAAAATAGCCTTGGAAATGCTTGTGGAAAACAGAATAATTAGTTTTCCAGTGATTGATGATAACTAGAAGTTGGCAAGTTTGCTTTCTTTCTTTCCTTTCAATGCATGTTTGGTCTGATGATTGAACAGTATAATAAAAAGATTTTAGCTCTATTCCTCTTAATACTCTATGAGTTTATCATGAACCATTGTAGTGTCCCAAGTAGGTGTATTAAGGGTAGTAGCTTTATTCGGACCGCAACTTTTGACATTATTGTCGAGTTCTATGTAATCCGAGTAATGCTATTTGTAACCAGTGCTTACCCATCCCAACTTTAAAATAGAATGTGACAAAATGCTCTTAGGTAAGAGACTTACAAATATCATTATTCGACTAATCCTACCAAATATAATATTGAAGTAACCCCCTTTAAGCATGTAGTAGGCAGCCTGGTTACTGTACTAGTAACGATTGCTATCTTTTTTTACTGTGAGCCTGTTTGGAAGTAATTTTGAGAATTGATTTTTTGACCATTAAGAGAAAAGTGGGGTCCACCTGTAAGGAAGAAGTTAAATATAACGGCTGGAATAGTGAAATAACGATCAAAAAATTAAATTTTTGGGTAAAAAAATCACTTCCAAATAGGCTATATATGTTTTTGACAGTGTAACCATACTAGTAACGGTTGCTATCGTTTTGACTGTATGTTTTTGACAATGTAGTTTCATTTTTTGTTGATTTTTGCTTGTCATGGAGGAAGAATTTTATTTATAAAACTAGACTTTTTGCTTGATGTTTTGTGGTAAATTAAATATGAGTGCCTTGGTCAAATTTATGACTGAACAACTTAGATTAACACGTAGCACTTGAACACTAGAGTTAGTTTAAAATTGCTTATGCAAATGGATGAAATCCTTTACTCAGAGAATTTGTGTCATTTAAACTTCATAAATAAATTAGGTTAGGCAAACAAAAACATTCATAATTTAGCGACTAAACTCAGAATCTTCAAGCACCGTGATTGTCCACATTGCTTTCAGCAAAAGTGCAAACTAGAAATATAAATGTGTTATTTTCCCTTTTAAGCATGGAGACCTCTTTATTCATTACAAACTACTCTCTTTACCAAGCAAAAAGAGTATGTTTGTAATGGAATGAACCTATTGCTTCTAAGGTCAACTTGCTTTTTAATTGTTGTTCATACTTTCTATCAGTCTGAGATCATTTAAATTTTTATGATTTCGAATGATTCAACTAAACGATTTGTCATTACTAAGCAATTGTTATATGTTTCTTTACCATTTTGAGCATGTTTGTTCTGTAGGTTGGTCTTGTGCCAGACTATGACTTACTAGCACTAGATTCAAAGGTTAAACTCCAACTTTGAGGGTCCTTACCGTTCCGCCCCTAAAGATTTGTAAGAGAGGTAAATCGTGGGATGTATCCCAGCAGGACAGAAAACAAAAGTTGCATGTACACTGTGCCTACAAGAAGTCTAATTCCATGTCTCAGGAATCGAACCCCCACACTACGGCTGCCAGCAAGGTATGAGATAACCTCACTCCTATCCTTTACACCACTGAGCTATGCCCCAGGGGGCCTAGCACTAGATTCCATCTCATGTAGTGTTTATTTTTATACATGATATTATGAATTTTGTTTTTCTATTTTCATTCATTTTAGGTTTCCATCCTTTGTTTTAAAATTTTGTTAAATTAAATTTGTTTGAATTTCTTACCCATCGAATCAAATTCGTTCTTGTTAAAAATTGTAGCTCACAAATGTTGGATATGACTTAATAACAATAGCTCCATATTTGCTTAAATGTGCACTTTTGATTATACCGTATAACTAATCTTCCATGCCTCGTAGCAATAGTGCCCCCAGCCTGAAAAAGATATTATCTCCTATTTGATGTCATAAAATTTTTAAGTGTCGTATGTGTCATTGTCAATTTCTATTACTGGTTTGAATAAAATATGGTCTACCTGGAATTGTCTCATAGAGCTTAATTTGTTGCCTGTATTTGTATAATAGGGTTATCCACTAATGGATCATGTCTTGTGTTAAGATTTAGAGTTTTATCTAAAAATATCAACATTGTTAATAGGAGTAGTCCAAGATCTTATAAGTTGGTCTATGTTTTTATCTTTATTCGATATAGGATTATATCTTTTAACATATATCCATGCAAGTTGGTAGCTTGTTTGAGCAGATCAATTAATTTTAAAATTTGTGCTCCTTTTCGAGTCTTAATTGGGTTAAATTGTTCGTTTGAGTTTAATGAGCTATGATATACCTTATTAAAATTTAGAGTTTCATCTTAAAATGTCAACTTTATTAAGAGGAGTAGCCTAAAACCTTATAAGTTGGTTCGATGTGAAATTATATCCCTTAACACTGTGATGGTCCATATGCATTGACACGAACACATGTCGAACATGTCGACATGCAATGTTTCAAAAAATATTGATACAATACGTCGTTAACACCTTGATTAAATTTTTTAAAATTCTTCATTTATATAGTATAAATTTAATTTATACTTGTCATTTTTCTTGTTGAAATATTTTAAATATGAGTATTTATTTGTTATTTAATAATAATTTTGAGTTAAAAATATATGATATCTCTTATGAAAAAAGAAAAATGGCTGTGATAGAGTATTTGAAGAGTGTCGGTATTTGACACGAGTTCGATACGAATACACTACCCTAATTAAAGTGCTCTTGCAATAGAGATGATGGTTGTTTCCTGGGGCCCTTTCTTGGGAGAGTATATATAGTAAATAATTGTGATCAAGTTTGAGGTACATAAAAACAGTTTGTCCTGTCATTATAATCATCTATAAACTTTAAAGATGTCATTTAAATATATTTTGCTAATAAATGAAAGATATCAATTACTAATATGAATTGAAATATTCCAATATTGTCATCAGGTTCTGGAAGAACCGATACGAACATGTTTCTTGAAGTTGACAGCACTTGGAAAGTATGTCAGCGATCTATTCTTGCAGCATTTATATTATTATATATTATAGATGC